AGCGGGGCAGCGGCCCCCCCCCGCACCCAGCGGCACCGCCGCTCTCCCCGCTTCGGCCCGCACGCCCCTTCCTAAACAGAATTTCAGCTCCTGCCCCTGGGCGGGCGAAACTTAAACCCGCTTTTCCACCCCCGCAAGACTAAGTTAGGCCCGAATCCTGTAAACAGTTCCACATGTTATACGTGTGCATCCCTCCAGCCGGACCAGCTCGGCGGGGACGGTTAAGCACGAGTGAAAGCTGCCTCCGTGGTTCAACACATCTGGTTTTTGCTCCACTACTCACAGAAATGCACCGTATTACCTGGAAATTACCCATAAAACTAAAGCTGCCTTAACGGTATTTTTCAATTGCACTGTTTCTAGCAAATTTCTTCTACGTTCCTTTTAACAATAATAACAAAAACATAAGGAGGCATTTCCTATATTAACTGCAATACCATCACATTACCTGCGACTGTGCTAGGTCTTTGCTTTTCCATTCTGCATTTGAAATAAATACTCATTTTGTGTTGGCCCTCCAGCGCGGTCTCCCTTTCATCCTTGGGTATGTGCTGCAACAGCAGAAGGCTTTAGTAACTTAGGCCTGCTCCTGCCATCCATTCGTACTTTGGGATATTTCCCCTCCAGTAGATCACCATGTACACCAGTTCAGTTGCCAGGCTGAGTCAGGTGCATTAAAAACTGTTGCAATTGAAGTTACAGTGCAGCGGTGAACACATGATAAACCTGGCACCGAGTAATTCAACAGAATGTGCATATTTTTTCCCGATAAAATGTTCATCTTGTATGAGATTATCTCTCTGCAATATGAACAGAAGTTTATAAAGCTAAAAATCTTTCGAAGCAGCATGTGGTATAGTTTAACAAAAGTTGTGTTTTGATGATTTTGGCCTTCTCTTGTTAACCACTGTTTGCGTTACTATACCATAAAGCACACGCTGCTGAGTCAAAGGTTAGAGAACGCTGAACTCTAACAGAAAATAGACAACTATATATGTATCTCATGGGAATATTTTAATTAGTCGTCACATTCTGTCAGTTTAGCAGAAGTTGATGTTTTTCAGAATGAGCATGAGAGCGGCCTGCTTGAACGCAGACCAAGCATGATACAGCGTTATTAAACTTACATGCATTTAAAACAAGCGGCTGCTGATGCTCTCCTGGCTGTTTCAGAATGACTGCATCTGGTAAGATTTGTTTTAAAAATAAACTGGATTCTAAGTGAGATTTCAAAGCACAGTTTATCAAGTGTCCCTTATTGGGGGGAAAAACCCATTTTCTAAACATTTGTCAGCTAGGCTCACGTTTACACAATAATGGATACACAACATTCTATTCAAGCACATTAAAAACACAGCGTTACATCATTTATTGTACCGTGTAGCCCATACCGCAATGATGGCACAGCAGTTGTGATGGCTGCAAACACACGCAGCTGGTACAGATTCCCACAAGCCATACTCGAGTCCCTCTTTCAAGGACTACCAGGCCAGGTAAGCGACAGGGGACATGACAAATTCTTGCCTCATCTCTCCACAACGTAGGAGCTCGGTCCCGCTGGTACCAAGCTGTATTTTTGAGATGCTGAGTGCCCTTAACTCTCCCTGAACACGACGGAAGTTGAGGCGTTCAGCACCTCTCAAGACCACAACACAAGGAACAAATGAGCAGCAGTGCGGAAGGCACTCTCATTTCATTACCAGAGGAAAGCAGTATAACAAAGATCCTTAAATACTTACTCCTACTTTAGATCATGAGGAAGCAAATTATGTTAATAAATGCTTATGAAATAATTGGAATTTCAAAGATAATTAACTCCTACCATTGCATACAACTTATTTAAAATACAGGGCCATATAAGTGATGTGAACATTTTGATCTACTTATAGCCCTTAAAAGGTAACAGAGGAATGGTGTTTGAATCAAACAAGGTGGTCGTTTTCATTTTATGAGAGAAACAGAATTAAAGTTTATTTACTGAGCCAGTCAAGAGTAAATATATATTATGTATTGGCAACAGCAAATGTGGTTATTACGGAGAGGGTGATTATAGCCCTCAACTCAGTGACAAAAATACAGCTGCTCTCATTTTTCCGTGTTTCTTAAACTTCTGACTTTCCTATTGACTGACTTGTACTCAGCAGTTTGCAGTGTCCTCTCATACAGTACTTACTTTTTGAAAAAAACTAAGTCCTTTTTTACATATACGAGCTCATCTAACACTTGGAGAATAAAGACTGCTTTCTAAGTATTATCCGAGTAGTTTGTTGAACTCCCTGAAGAGCTACTGGATCATCCTAATGTGAAACAGAGTAATTCTTTATATTTAATACAAATTACTGTATCCTTTTCAGGGAACAGCCAGGACACATAAGAACTTGTGAACTGCAAGCATTTAATTAATCTTTCTCATTAATGCAGCTTCAGCATTTTTGAAAAATACCAATGTTTGATGTCGGTTCTCAAGTAAATTCCAGAGAGAAAATAAACATAACAGCCAGGTTCTCAGTAACATTTGAAATGAGTGAATAATTCTAATTCTGCAAGTAGATCCACATGAAGACGACCTTACATCCCTATGGAGCTACACTAGAGTCTGTTTCTAGGCAAGTCTCCAATTACCCTCCAGTTATCCTAAGAGTTACCTGTATGCTGTAGATGTAAGAATTACTGGGGCACATCTGGTCTGTGAAAATAATGAAAAAAATCCCTACTTTTGTTAATAGACATTGTGGAGCAATCAGAATGATACTTACAGGGAAGCCCCAGCATTCACCGTCACTGAATACTGAGTCTCTAGACATCTGACAGAAATGCCATTTTATGACTTTTAAAATCTTGAAAACTTCACAGAATTGCTTAAGTTGGAAGAGACCTACTGAGATCATTTAGTCCAACCCTTCTGCTCAAGCAGGGTCAGCTAGAGCAGGTTGTCCAGGACTACGTCCAGCTGGGTTTTCAGTATCTCCACAGATGGGGACTGCACCACCACCTCTCTGGGCAATCTGTTCTGGTTTTGACCACACCTCTCCCAGCTGAGCAGTCCCCGCATTCTCAGCCTCTCCTCGTATGAACAATGCTCCAGTCCCTTAATCATGTTTGTGGCCCTGTGCTGGACTCACTTCAGATCTTTCTTGTACTGAGAAGCCCAGAACTGGACACAGCACTCAAGATGTCACCTCATCAGTGCTGAACAGAGAGGAAGTTCACCTTCCTCAAACTCCTGTCAACTTACTTGAAATTACTGCATTTTTACTCAGGTATGAAAAAAGGACCAAATATAACTACTTCTGTATCTTTTATTTCCAGTGTTAAATTCCCTGGCCACTAGAACAGCATCTAGAAGAGAACCATACACTAACTGGGTTGGAGGGACCATCTGGTCCAATGCCCCTGCTCAAAGCAGGTCTAACGTTAAAGTTAAATCAGATTGCTCCAGGCTTTATTCAAATACAGTTTGAGTATATCCAAGGATGGCAGTGCTCCAGCCTCTCTGGGCAACCTGTCTCCACCCTTGGCAATCCTCATGGTGCATTTTTTTCCTTAGGTCCTGTTGGAATTTTCCTTGCTGCATCTTGTGAACTTTCCCATATATGAGAATAATTTACTAGCAGCAAGTAAACTTAACTCTTACTGTCATTATCACTGTCTTTGCCATTATCTTGGGATCATGCATCATATTTCGTTGCTTTTTAGGCAGAGTAGTGACACTGTTTATCATATAAACAGTACTACTGTGCTCAGTGTGAAGACTGTCTTTGATTTGATAGGAAATGATAGGAATTAGGCTATTCTTATCCCCATCTTTTATTCGTGAAAATGATCAGCAATGAGGTTTGCCTTTCTACTATGAGGGCTTTTCTTAATCCCTACTAAGCTCTAGATAAGACACTGTATATTAGTAAATAGTAGCACTTCTGGGATGTATATAGCATTTCTTTCTTTATGCTTACTCTTATAGTCTAAAGTTGAGTAGCAAAGCAGGTTGCAAAATGCTAACATTTGTATTATGCCGTTGACAAATAAGTAAACAAGACCAATGCATTCAAGATACATTTCAAGAGTACGGTAAAATTGTGCCACAAAGCATTCCAACTTTGTTGAATTAATTTCAAGCAAATTTTAAAAAGTAAGAGAAACTGTAAAATAAGTTCCTATAGATTTTATAATAATTGGCTGCTAGTAAAGGAGAGGGAATCAAATTAGTGATGGTACCAAGGGAAAGATGAGGCGATCTGTATTGTTAAATATTTCCTTGGCGCACTAAAATACTGATCGGCCATAGCACACACTGTCTCTTCACACTCAGGGAAACACAGAAAACAAGGAACAAGGCCATAGCAGTGGGAGAGGGAGATTGCCACTGTAAGGAAAAAAAA